GGGGGAGACCATTGCAGGGCGCTGATTGCGGGCCCTTGCCCCGGGCTCCTTACCCCAGCTCTAGATGATGGCCCTCCTCTCCCCATGTCACCCCCCACTCGTCTTCTCCGGCCTCACGGCCCAGACAGACAACTTCAGTCGTTAACCCTGAAGCTGACCGCAGCTGACAAGATTAAAAAAAAAAGTAGCCGGAGCTCCCCTGGAGTGACACACTAGACTTCAAAAGTGGGGTGGTGAGGAAACCTCAGGGGCGAGGCTTGGGAAAGAGGAGAGGTGAGGGAGAGGGGCATTTGCTGTGGACTCTGAACGCTGGAGTTGAGAGCTCTGGAAATGGAACAGGGCGGGGGTGGGGCATGGGCTTTGTGCTTATGTATTTATTTCTTTATGGAAAGTGTGGGAAATGGTTCAGAAACTCTTTGAAAGAGAGGGAGGGGTTGTAGTCAAATGCCTGTGGAACTATTTGAATGATTGGGGTGGGATGTAGAGTACTGGAAAGTATGGATTACTTTTCAGATTAGACACTGGCAATCACTGAACTGGAGAGAGAGTTCCAGAAATTTTATTGGAACCAATGAATCAAAATTGCAGATATGAAAATAAGTCTTACGCTGGCTTTCTTTCATTTACTCTAGTAGAGGATAGTTAAGATGGAAGGGATTCACAAATGCTATTGAATGAGCACTGGGAGTGCCTAATAAGTCCATCCATTCTATGTGTCTATACAGTCTATAAAGTTGAATTTATGGTGCTCTGCAATTGTGAAAATTATCCTAATTATTTTGTTTGGGCTCATGCAGAAAATTAATGCACCTAAAGGGACGCAGAAAAGTTACTACAAATTATGAGCATGGAACTTGCAAACCAAGTAGACAAACCATGGTATGGTTTGTTTCATTTTAATATTTGAAATTATGTTTGCTGCCAATAAAAATGCTACATAACTTTTAATGTGAGTATATGAAATGAGTTCACTCACAAATAGAAGTCATGCATTTTTTTAGGTAAACAGCTGTCAGAGTTAATTTGGGAGCATTTTAGGAGATCAAGACATGAAAAAATGTGTTGAGTTAGTTTGACAAAACTTGAATTAAAGAGATGTTTATAGAGAAAATTAAGTTCTTCTTGCTTTTGAAGTCTTGAGGCAAGTTTGAATGTTTATTAATTATTAGTTGTAGACCAACTGAATTGGTATTATCACTTTACTAAATACATTAAATTCTTTATATTTCTTATTGTTTTACCAGGGATCATCACCCTTACTACAGAGGATGGGAAGTTGAGGCCCAGTAAGACTGAAGATCCATTCTGTTTGTAGACACTCCCTATTACAGAACTGTGGATTACCTGGGGTCCCAGTATCTGGTGGTTTCACACCTTCACTTACTCTTGCAGCCCCAAAACAGTTACTTTGGGTCCTCATTGTCCTATCTGGAGAAAGATGGCATCCAGCCTGACGTGTACTGGGGTGATCTGGGCTTTGCTCTCATTTCTTTGTGCTGCTACCTCCTGCGTGGGGTTCTTTATGCCTTACTGGCTCTGGGGATCCCAGTTGGGCAAGCCTGTGTCCTTCGGTACTTTCCGGAGGTGCTCATATCCTGTACATGATGAGAGCCGGCAGATGATGGTAATGGTGGAAGAATGTGGGCGCTATGCCTCTTTCCAGGGCATCCCCAGTGCAGAATGGAGGATTTGCACCATCGTGACAGGCCTCGGTTGTGGCCTTCTTCTCCTGGTAGCTCTCACTGCCCTCATGGGTTGCTGTGTGTCTGATCTCATCTCCAGAACAGTGGGAAGAGTGGCTGGTGGAATTCAGTTTCTGGGGGGTAAGTGACTTTTTGCACTTGAGTTGTTTTCTTGAGCTGAATCCCAAAGTAATATTGAAAATTATGTTCCAGTTGTCTATTCAGGTTATTATACTTGATAATTGGAATGCTCTGGAGAAATAGACATTTAATGGCTTTGGTGATAGATTACCAAAGTCAGACAATTTTACTGGAATTGCTTTACAACTTGGAGAATTCTTAAATTTCTGTACATCCTTAGACATTTATACATCATTAGCTTGCAAAGTACCACCTATGGGAGGCAGTAACATTTTGGTTGTTTATAATGTAGTAGGGGAGACAGTTTGCATTCCATTGCCTCTTACTCTTTATGTTCAAGAGTAAGCAACTAGATTATCCTTCTTACTAGAAACCTCAGGTTTTTCATCATGAAGACATCATAGAAAAGTAGAAAGGATTTGAATTCAACATTATCATCATAAGTCTTAATACTCTTTGGTAAAATTACCCTTATCCAATCTTAA